ATGACGTGGTGGTTAAAGGCACTCAACTCCCACATGGCCGACCATGGTTCAGTCCCAGACCTGGCGCGTTGCTTTCTCACTTTTCCTCTCTCTCTCTCTCTCTCTCTCTCTTTCTCTCTCTCCCTCTCTCTCTGTCTCTGTCTCTTCTGGTCAAATTCCAGTAATAATGATAATAAACAAACTTAAATAAAATATTAAAAATAAATAAATGTACAAAATCATTAATTTTTAATGTACTTATTAATGAGAGAGAGAGAAATTGAATTTCTACAGTCTTTCCATGTTGAGATCCTCCTGCCTCAGCCTCCAGGTTAGCTAGGACTACAGGTGCAAGCCGCCATGCCCAGCCACTTTAGGTTAGACCAGGTATCAAACCCAGGCCTCCCATTTGGCCTCAGCCTCCAAGCGACAACGTCTTAGCAGCGTGAGCCACCAGAGCTGAGCCCCAAATTATCTTATATAAAGTAATTTTTTTAAAAGAATTAATTTCTTGGGACCATCAGTTAGCATAATGGCTATGTCGCTGGACTCCCATGTAGTTGACCGTGGTTTGAGTCCTGGACCCAGTGGCTTAAACCCCCGCCAGGTGTGTGTGCATGCGTGCCCAAAATCCTGAGAGGAGAATGGAGGAGAAGGGATTGTGGCATGGCTATCCCCCGGGAGGGGGGGTGTTATTTCTTGCGCTCTCTCTCTGTCTCTCTCTGTCTTTCTGGCGAGCATATGCGCCCTAGAGCAAAAACCTCTCCAAAAAGAGAAAACAAAATTAATTTGTTTTTAAAAAAATTATTTTTAATTTTATTTCTTCATTTACTTATTTTATTTTGACCAAAGAGAGACACAGAGAGAAAGAGAAAGTGAGAAAGCAAGCCACCAGGTCCAGGACTTGAACCGTGGTTGGCCATGTGGTAATGTCCAGTGCCTTAACCACCACGCCACCTGCTGGTTCCCTGATTTCTTTTTTTAAATTTATTTATTCATTTATTTTAATTTGACCAGAGAGAGAAGGAACGTGAGAAAGCAAGCTGCCAGGTCCAGAACTTGAACCGTGGGCTATCATGTGGGAGTGTCCAGCACCTTAACCACCATGCCACTTGCTGGTTCCTAAAGTAATTTTGTTAGAAATGCTTCTCTAGTGGATGAATACATTTTCTTTTGTTTACATTTTTCTAATTAGTGCATGTACCCATAAGTGATTATTTTTTATTATTATAACAAGAGAGCCTTAAGAGCCAACTGTTGGCCATGGTGGTTAAGGCAGCTCAGTTCCATGCAGCCTACTGCGAGGGTTGAGTCCTGGACCCTGTGGCTTGAGAAACAGGTTGGGCACATGTCCATGGGTGCCCCAAATCCTGAGAGGATAATAGAGAAGGGATTGTATCCTGGCCATCCCCTTAGGGGGTGATTTGTCACTTTGCTTTTCTTTCTCTCTTCTCCTAGCTACAATGAGCACCCACACCCTATAGCAAATTTAGAACAGAGAGAGTAAGAGCGCTTTAATACCAGTTCTGTTTCTGCGTTTCGTTTTCATGCTGAGGAACCTGTTCACATAAATAAGTAGATGGGAATGGGAAGTTTTATTAAAACAGTAAATTGTTTCAGCTTCTTTTCTGAATTCTATGCTAAAAACCAAAGTAATCATCACAATTGATTGTTTGATGTGTCGGTTAACAACTGGATGAACTCTTCCAGCTCTTTTGGAAGCAAAGAATTGGAAACCATCTGATTTACTAGAGAGATCTGTAACTCAGACTTCAATGCCTGATTTTTAGGCTGGGTGCCTAGTATTGATAAATTGAGAGGAATGATCCAGAGAGGGGGCTTCAACTTTCATCATTAGCAGTCACAAGCTCTCCCTCAGGCACGGCAGTTTTAGGAGAGAGTTTCTAAGGAAGTATAGAGGTTCTGAAACTCTCACTAGCTGCTCACCCTTTGGAAAGGCTGCAAGGAACAGATTAGACCACTGCTCCAAGATACCTATTGAAGAGTTTTCTCTAAAGGGGTTTTCAATTAGGATTTTTTTCTTTTAGTTTCCTCCCCTCCCACATAGAAATGGTTCGTTTTTTAAATTTTTAATTTATTTTTTAGATTGCTATAAGGCATGTGTGCTCACCAGAGAGAGGGAAGAGGGAAGGAGAGAGAGAAAAAGTGAAAAAGTAAGCCGCCATGTGGGAGTGCAGCACCCTAAGCTCCACGCCACCTGCTGGCCCCAAAATGGTTTCTATTTGTAGTGGTTATTGGTATAGAAAATACACTGATTAAATGTAGAAATAGGTGAAGATACTGTACCGTGTGCTATGTAGGCTTTCATAATTTTTAGAACACATTTTATATACATTATCTCATTTGATCTGTACAACCCTGTGTGGTAGACAGATTATCTCCATCTCTAAGCACAAATAAGAAATTGGTCCAGAAGGTTCTTGTGAGTTTTTTTTAACTCACAGAACTTTTTCTTTGTTCTTTTTTTGGAGAGGTTTTTGCTATAAGACAGAAAGCGAGACATTGCCCCCTCAAGGGGGATGGCCATGCCGTAATCCCTTCTCCATTCTCTCAGGATCTTGGGCATGCACACACACGGGCCTGGCATGAGTTTAAGCCATCAGGTCCGGGACTCAAACTGCAGCCAACTACATGGGAATCCAGCAACATAGCCATTATGCCAACTGCTGGCCCCTTGACTCACAGAACTTTGGATGGTGAACTGGTCCTGGAATCAAGATCTTTTGATTCTTTTTTTAATTATTATTTTTTTAATTATTATTTAATTAATTTAATTTGTTATTATTATTATTTAACTTGACCAGAGAGAGAAAGAAGATGCAAGAAAGCAAGTCACCAAGTCCAGGACTTGAACCGTGGTTGGCATTGTGGGAATCCAGTGTCTTTAAACACCATACCACCTGCCGGATTCATGATCTTCTGATTCCTTACTCAGTAAATCTTTCCCCAACAAGAAACTTTAACTCAGTAGTTTTCAATATTTCTTTCTCTATCACTATGATCATGAACCCTTTTTTCTTACTTTTTGCTTCTATAGATTTACGAAATCTTTTTAAGAATTTATTTATTATTTTTTTAATTTGCCATAGAGCACATACACTCGTCAGAGAGAGAGACAGAGAATAAGAGAGAGAAAGTGCAAAAACAGACCACCAGGTTCAGGACTTGAGCCCTGGTTAACCATATGGGAGTCCAGCACCTCAACCTTTATACCACTTGCTGGCCTCCATGAAATCTTTTTAAAAAATTTTTTTTGCCAGAGGGTGCATGCTCTTTCCAGAGCCAGAGAGAGAGGGAAAGTTTGAGAAAGCACTCCTTCCCATGGGGGATGGCCACGCTGTAATCCCTTCTCCATTCTCTCAGAATTTTGGCACGCCTGCATGCCTGGCATGTTTTTTAAGCTGCCAGGTCCAGGCTCGAACCGCACAGTCAGTCATGTGGCACCTAGCACCTCAACCACCATGCCACTGGCTAGATCTCAGGAAATCTTAACAAAGTTATCAATTGTGATTAGACTTTGGTAAATGTATGTAACCAGAAGCAAAAAATAAATATTGGCAAATTCTTAGCTTGTGCAGTTTTATTAGCATAAAGGAACAATTTCCATTAGGAATTTTGTAATAAAAAATAATGTGGTGCCAGCAGGTAGCATAATGATTACATCACTGGACACCTGCCTGGCCAACTGCAGTTCGAGTCCCGGACCTGGTGGCTTGAAAAATCACATTGAGTGCTTGTGGATATGTGCCCAATATTCCAGGAGGAGAGGGGGGGAGAAGGGATTGCAGTGTGGCCATCCCTGCTAGGGATGATGTCTCACTTTCCCTCTCACTGTCGCTCTCTCTCTCTCCAGTGAGCGGCCCCCTATGGTAAAATAAAAAAAAAAAAAAAAGACTCTTAAAAATTAATAATGGTAGCAGCCAGTATTTATTTGATTATTTAGGTACCCAGTGCAATAGAAGGGATGTCAGTATTTCTTGGGAATGTTAATAGCTCAAAGACTTCCATTATTCCTTTGAGGATTTCCTACTGGAGCCAGTTAAGAGAACCTTCATTAGAAGTTGAGGTTGCCTTTTCAAGATACCTTGGATTTCATCGGCTGATCTTGCTATTGAAAGTAGTTAGATTACTTATGATATTGTGTGATCAACGAAATGTTGGGGGAAAAGGGATTGAAAACAACTGTAGACAGCAGAGATAGTGTAATAAGAGAGTGGAATAGGGCAGAGGGCTAGACATGGGGTAAAAAACATATATATGAAAGTAGAAATGGAATATTATGGATGATAACATGCATTATTAAACCACTATGCAGTATATTCTAGATGGGAAACCACATTTAGAATGTTGTGATGATGCTCAGGGAATGAATGTAAATTAATAAAAAAAAATTTCAGAAGAAAAAAAAAGGCATTAGAAATACCTATTTGATGACTGCAGTTAAGCTATATAGCCCTAGTTAGGTGCTACTTTATAGTATGTTCATTCTATTCACTGAGGTTTGTTTATGCCTAAAGTCAGACTTGTGTTCACGGATATGTACATATCAGCTGTGCTTGCTATTGAAAATATTTAGATTTATTAAGATATTTAGTGAAACAATAAAATGGGGGAGGCAGAGAAAGCAACAATAGATACCAGACACAGTGTGGGAGGGGGGGGGGGATGGCAGAGGGTGAGATAGGGAATCAAAGACGGGAAAAAAGGCAAAATATACAGAAAACAATAAATGGAAAATGATTTGTTGACAATAAAAAAAAAAGAACAGAAAAAGTTCATGGAAATATGTATTCTAAGAAAAACTATGTATGATTTTTTAAAATAAAGTTTATTCATTTCTTAAAAAAAAAAAAAAGATACCTTGGATTTGGTGGAAACTGTTTCTGTAGTCTTAACTTTTGAAGCATTTCTGGGCATGGGAACTTAGAACTTTCTCTTTGAATGTATGGAGAACACAGATCCTGGAGAAGCTCGAGCCTAACCCCTCTTGTGCTCCTTAGGATGGAATCCACGGAAAAGTGTGAAGCCATCATCACCCACTTTAATGGAAAATATATTAAGACACCCCCTGGAATACCAGGTGAGGCATCTGGGAGTCAGGCTGAGAGGGCCACCAGTTGTAACTTTCAGTGAAGATTCTGGAGGAATTTTGCATGAGTATCAGTGGCTAAAGGAGGTGACTCTCAGCTGCCTGTCTGCGTTGTCTCTCTGCTTTCTCTCTCGGCAGTCCCATCTGATCCCTTGCTTTGCAAATTTGCTGATGGTGGACCAAAGAAACGACAGAACCAGGGAAAATTTGTGCAAAATGGACGAGCATGGCCAAGGAATGGCGACATGGTAAGAGGACCTCTGAGAAGACAGGAGTACTAAGGACATTAAAGTGGAATGGAAACTACCATAACCCGATTTCTCTGAGCTCCTGTGGGAGGCTTGATGGCTGCAGTATGTGACAGAGAGGCTGGCTGCTCAGTATAGTCTTCAGCATGGATCTGGAGTGGGGTTTTGAGCTTGAACATTGAAAGAACTCTGGAACAGCTGCAGCAGGGCTAGTGCAGACATTCCCAGCCTTGGCATTCTGCACTTGCTCCTGTTTTTACCCAACGACTTAGAAAATGAACACTGGGGACCAGCAGTTAGCGTAATGGCTATGTCGCTGGACTCCCACGTAGTCAACCGCGGTTCGAGTCTCGGACCCAGTGGCTTAAACTCATGCCGGGCACGTGTGCATGCGTGCCCAGGATTCCAAGAGGAGAATGGAGGAGAAGGGATTGTGGCGTGGCCATCCCCCCTGGGGGTGATTTCTTGCTTTCTGTCTGTCTCTGTCTGTCAGGTGAGCACACATGCCCTATAGCAAAAACCTCTCCAAAAAAAAAGAAAGAATATGAACACTGAATTCTTTCTTTATAGGGTGGAATGGCCTTGACCTATGACCCTACTGCTGCTCTTCAGAATGGGTAAGAGTGTTTTATATTATCAGGCCACCTGAAAATAACAGTGGCCTGTGTCCAGGTGCTCAGATGTTTCATCCTGATTTTCAAGTAGCAGTTAGTGGGCAGTGACGGTGCTTGTCAGTGGAAGCCCTTCCCTGTGGCTTCCTGTGACTCATTACTGACTGAGGTTCCTTCCTACAGGTTTTACCCAGCCCCTTATAATATCACTCCCAACAGGATGCTTGCTCAGTCTACACTCTCTCCTTATCTTCCGTCTCCTGTGTCTTCATATCAGGTAAGTTAGGCCCAAAAAAGGGTGTGGACAGGTATTCCCTAACATTGTGTTTTAGGTGAAGGAATATGAGGCTTTATTAGAAATCACTTCTGTTTTTGTTTTTCCTTTATACATATTATAAATAATTTTTACATAAAGCATAAAATCTGTCTTAACCATAGTCTGTTTTAAGTTTTTCTCTTTTTTGAGAGGCTTTTGTTATAGGGCACGTGCGCTCACCAGAAAGACAGAGAGAGACAGAGAGACAGAAGCGAGAAATCACCCCCAGGGGGGATGGCCACGCCACAATCTCTTTTCCTCCATTCTCCTCTCAGGATCCTGGGCATGCACGCACACATGCCCAACGTGAGTTTAAGCCACCGGGTCCAGGACTCGAACAGCGGTCGACTACATGGGAGTCCAGTGACATAGCCATTACACCAACTGCTGGTCCCCTGTTTTAAGTTTTTATTTTATTTTTAAAGAATTATTTTATTTAACTTTATTTATTATTATTATTTTCCAGTTTGATCAGAGACAGGCAGAGAAGAGAGAATGGGAAAGTGAGAAAGCAAGCCACTAGGTCTGGGACTCGAACTGCAGTCAGCCACATGGGAGTCTAGTGTCTTTAACCACCATACCATCTGCTGGTCCCTAAGTTTTTATTTTTAAATTCATGATAGAGTATGCACATGTATGCTGGGAGAGAGAGGAGATGCACCCTTAACAAGGTCTTTTAACACTGTGGTCCCCCTCCACAGCTGTCTAGCTTATGGGGCTCTTGGACATGCATGTTTGCATGCCTGTCCAACTTGTTTTCAGGTCAGCCTGGGATCTGGATCCCTCGGTGGGCCATGTGCCTTCTAGCACTGCAGTTCTATACACTACCAACTGTGCCACCAAGGCCAGCCTATACACTGTTTAGTGGCATCTTCACTTTTCTTGTAGATGTGGCTCCACAAGAAAATCAGTGTCAGTTTCCTACTCTGTAACATTTTCCATATTTTCCTTCATGGGAATATATACATATGTGGAGGGCTTGGGTAGTCATTGATTTTAGAAAAACTGGACCATATGAAATAAATTTTTTACATTTCACACTTCTCATGTAACAATGTCTTAGACCAGTGATTCTCAAAGCATTGTCCTTCGACCAGGAGTATCGCTATCACCTGAAAATTTTTCACTTTTTTTTTTTTTTTAAGAGAGGTTTTTGCTATAGGGTGTGTGCACTTGCCAGAAAGACAAAGAGATACAGAAAGCGAGAAATCACCCCACAGGGGGGATAACCACGCCTCAGTCCCTTCTCCATTCTCCTCTTGGGATCTTGGGCACGCACCCACACGCCCAGCATGAGTTTAAGCCACAGGGTCCAGGACTCGAACCGTCGACTACATGGGAGTCCAGTGATATAGCCGTTACGCTAACTGCTAGGCCCTGTTACTATTTTCTAACAAGGGGTATTACACCTTTCAGAGGGCTTTGCTGGAGATCATTAGATCATTGACCTGAACAATAGTTTCTAGGCAATTAACGTTGTTGTTTGTTTTTGCTTGCATTAGAGAGTGACTCAGACATCTCCTCTACAAGTCCCTAACCCGTCTTGGATGCACCACCAGTCGTACCTCATGCAGCCTTCAGTGAGTGTTCTGAGTGGGCAGAAGCCAAAGAGGCACTATGATGCAAATGAAACAAAACACACCAGTGGGCTCTGGTGACAGGAAATGTGGGTGCGAGTCTGGCTCAGGCCCTTGTGCAGCATAGCTGGAAGGCGTTACCTTCTGTGAGCTTGTTATTAGCCTGAAGCACAGAGCACCTTTGAGTTGCAGTGTGGGATTGCTGCTCACCTGTCATTTCCCAGGACTTCTAAATGCCTGTCTCCAGTGGTCCTGCTGGCTCTCGGTCGTGCCTTTAAGCAGCATCACAAGATGCTGCCAACTAACCCTTCTTTGTTGCCTCTCTAGGGTTCAGTTCTAACACCAGGAATGGACCCCCCCATTTCTCTTCAGCCTGCCTCCATGATGGGACCCCTTACCCAGCAACTGGGCCACCTCTCCTTGAGCAGCACGGGCACGGTAAAGGAGGATATTTCTGATTGTAAAGGGATACCTGTATAATGTTCCTCAGCACAAATCCTCAGGAATGAGGATGGAACCTCTTCAGCCTCATGAGGGCACACTTGGAATAGGTGATAAATTGGAAAGTTAATAATCCATGAGCCAGAAATATAGCCACTCTGCTTCCCAGGCCACCCTTTTTAACTTATTATAAAACTAAATGGTGTTTCTACCTATGTATTTATCTAAGAACCCAGATATATTTCCTTAAAATTCTTATTCAAATCATAACAGGAAGAATGGAATTAGGTTTCTTTCAGACCTGCTGCATTCTGATGTGCACAGGAGGGCTTATGGCGAAGCAAAAGACAGGCTGGGAAAGGATGTCTGTCGTCTAGGGCGGAACCTCTCTAAGATGGTGGACTGTAGGACTACCTGGAGTGCCTCTAAAGAATCCAGTACTGGGCCAGCAGGTGGCGTGGTGGTTAAGGGTGCTGGACTCCCATATGGCTGACCACAGTTAGAGTCACGGACCTGGCGGCTTGCTTTCTCACTTTCTCTCTCTCTTTCTGTCTGCCTCTAAATGAATAAAATTAAATTAAATAATTCTAAAAATAAATAAATAAATAGATAAAAAGAAGCCAGTACCCAGGGACCAGCAGATGGCATAATGGTTACATTGCTGGACTCTCACGTGGTTAACTGCAGTTGGAGTCCCAGACCCGGTGGCTTAAAACCTACCAGTAAAAAAACAAAACAAAACAAAACAAAAAAACATGCCAGGTGCATGTGCGTGCGTGCCCAAGATCTCCAGAGAAGAATGGAGGAGAAGGATTGCAGTGTGGCCATCCTCCCCGGGGGCGATTTCTCACTTTCTATCTGTCTGTCTGTCCGGCAAGCACATGCACCCTATAGCAAAAATCTCTCAAAAAAAACCAAAAAACAAAACAAGCCAATGCCCAAACATAGTATTTTCATACAAGAAAAATAAAGTGAATTAAGCCTGAAAGAAAAAAAGAAACCAATGCCCAGACCAATTAAATTAGGATCTCCAGGGGTAGAACACAGATATAAGTGTTTTGTTTTGTTTTGTTTTGTTTTTGAGAGGTTTTTGCTATAGGGCATGCGCGCTCACCAGAAAGACAGAGAGAGACAGACAGAAAGCGAGAAATCACCTCCTAGGGCGGATAGCCACACCGCAATCCCTTCTCCTCCATTTTCCTCTCGGGGTCTTGGGCACACATACACATGTGCCCGGCGTGAGTTTAAGCCACCGGGTCTGGGACTCAAACCACAGTCGACTACGTGGGAGTCCAGCAGCATATGCCATCTGTGGTCCCAACATCAGTGTTTTTAAACCTTGCTTTAAATGAAGCCAAGAACCTCCGCTCTATGCCCGTCGATGTTTTTCATTCTAGTATATGGCAACAGCAGCAGCTATGCAAGGTGCTTACATCTCCCAGTACCCCCCCGTGCCTTCTTCCAGTGTTGCGGTTGAGGTAAGAATGTTATTACTTCTTTGGATTGAGGATAGGAAAGTGGACAGAGGCAGATTTTCCCCAGATTAAGGCAATGTTGTGGATTCTATGTTCACAAACAGCTGGTATGTGAGGAATGGAGGAAGGAAGGACTTAGTCTGAGTCCCTGAGCAAGGCTCTTGCTCAGTCGTTCACAGCGGGACGTTGACTTGTACTGACTGTCCAGGGAAGAGGACAGGCAGCTATGGCTGGTGGGGGAGTGGTGCTGTAGTGCACACGTGTGGGGAGAGTGGGTAAGTCGGAGTGGGCGCTCAGCTCTGGGTGGGTTTTAGCTGGACTGCGTCAGTGGGAGGAAAGGAGAGGAACACAGTGTGACTCTCCTCCTTGGCTGTGGCACAGGAGAGCAGCGGCCAGCAGAATCAAGTGGCGGTGGAGACGCCCTCAGACCACGGGGTCTATTCCTTCCAGTTCACCAAGTAACAGTGGGTAAGAGCCACATGTAGCCAACTGGGTGTGCTGATCTGGGACAGCAGCTCTGCCTAGCCTGGAGGCAGACAGTTCCTGTGTCCTGCCCCTCCTCACCCTCCCCTTATGCCTCCTTAGGAGTCTCCTCCCGTTTAAACACAGAAATGAGTTCTTGGAGGTTCTGATGCTCCCAGAAGGGGTTCACCAGGAAATCAGACCATCTACAGGCCCTGCTGAGGACTAACATTTGGCCATCGCTTTTCATAGGCCTGGGCCTGGAAAAGAAATCTCTGCGCTTCAGCCCTCTGCTGGTCCATGGTCGATAGAGCCTGGGGGAACCATCATTTTTTGTGTGTGCTACATTCAAGAAAATCAAAAAAACTTTTTTTCTTTTGCAAAATGTTTTTGTTCGAAACTTTCTCCCTATCCCAAAAAGACATGGTAGCTGGAGCTTCTTTTTATAGTTATAAAAAAACAGTTTATGGATTGGAATTATTTGAGGAGGCTTTTTAAACAATTTGTTATTATTTCTTTAAATACAAAATGGAAAAATGTGGTGCTAGAATATTGATGAAGGAGCCCTCCGTAGGTCGGTTATGGACTTTCTCAGTACATGTGTATGTGTACAGGAAAATATGCAGGCTTTTTCATATTTTAGTTTTGTAAAGCTCTCAGCTCGTACACCCTGTCTCTTCACATATTCTCTCTTCTTTTTCTCATCCAGATTGCTCTTTTTCTCTTTTCCATATAGCTGACCCTGCCTAATTTGTCCTTTTATAGTTTTAAAGTTTGTGAATTTCATTTTTGAATGAAATCCTATATGGTATTTTGGGGTGCAGGGCAAGGAACAAGGTGGAACACTAGGCAGGTCATGGAAGCGGCTTCTTTTCCTCCTGCCACACCCTGGGAGAAGGGCCTAGACTGGCTTCAGGACGCAGAGATATGACGTAGGCTCATTAAAGAGACAACCCCACAGCCTTCAGAAGCCTCCTTTGAGCCAAACTTGAAGATTAGGTCTTCCCTGGCCAGTTGCAGAAGGATGGACTGACTGACTTACAATTCTTCTTACTGCCAAGGCCAACGCCCCCTGAGGAAGTGTCTTTTCCAGCTGCAGCTCTTTGGGAATACCTGCTTTCCTGCCTCCCGGAGGATCTTTTCTGCCTCATGTCACATTGCCCAACTTGTTCCTGTTACACATCGCTGTGCTCAGAGCCTTTGCAGCTGTGACCTTGCTAAATCCACTTAGGTTCCTTCCCTGCTATGGAGATCTGCTGCTGCATCTATAGACCAGTGGTTCTCAGCTGGGGGTGGTTTTGTGACTGTTGTCAACATCTAGAAACATTTTCGATCATCATGCCTTGGTTTGGAGGTGTGTGTGCTATTGACACCTAGTGGTTGGGGGCCAGGGATGCTGCTAACATCCTACAGTGCACAGGACAATCCCCGCCACCCCCCAAAAAAGAATTATCTGGCTCAAGACGTCAATAGCACCAAGTTTGAGAAACTTTGATGTAGACGAAATTGACCCTGCCTCCTGGAGCGAGGCAAATTCTTTCCCCAGCCCTGGACACACACAGTGCCTTTTGACACTTATGAAACTGGGACAGAACTGGGATCTTTAAATGCTCCCAGGCTTCAAACTTTGACATCTCTGCATACACCAAAAGTTATCCTTGAGAGGCTTGTGGCAACCATGCACCTGTGAGACACGCACCTGCACTCAGAGGGATGGTGGTGGGGCCTGGTCTGTGTGTGTGACTTGCACGGTGAGAAAGGACAAAACTCTCTGTGTTACCCACCCTCCCCTGGTGTGTTTGGACCCCTTCCCCAGAGAACCAGGACATCAGAAATGTTTCTACTTTTTGTGGAAGGACAATGGGGAGCTAAGATAGACAAGGGCAGTAAATTCTCATTATTTACAAGGTCAGGGGTCCTTTTTTTTTTTTTTCTTTTCCTATTTTTTTTTTTTTGAGAGATTTTCACTGTAGGGCGGGTGCGCTCGCCAGACAGACAGAGAGAGACATAGAGACAGAAAGCGAGAAATCACCCCCCAGGGGGGATGGTCACGCCGCAATCCCTTCTCCTCCATTCTCCTCTCGGGATCTTGGGCACGCACGCACACGCGCCCGGCGTGAGTTTTAAGCCACCGGGTCTGGGACACGAACCGCGGTCGACTACGTGGGAGTCCAGCGACATAGCCATTACGCTAACTGCCGGTTCCCAGGGGTCCTTTTTTTAAAAGATTATATTTTGCTCTTTAACTGTCTCCTGCAAGACCAGACTGTGCCCATGGAGTTGGACAGAGGAAAGCCTCTGCCCTTATTTTAGAAGATAAGGTCCTGCTCCTGTCTTCTTCCAGCCACTCCCTTATGCACTGAAAGAATTCTCCCCTTCATTTTGACTTCAAGGCCAGGTGTCTCTTTAGCAGACAATCAGACAAAGTCACATAATGGAGGATAAAGAAACAGATGTTCATTAAGCTGCTGTAGGCAGAGGAAGGGGATAATAACAAAGGGACAAAGACTGTTCATCAACTATTACACACAGAGTTTAGGCCCAGCTTTCTTCCTTCCCACCAGAATTGAGACTCCCACTGCTCCCAGCCTCCAGGCTGTACATCCTAAAAGCAGAGGGCAGTGGACAGGGCAGAAAGTGAAAAGGACAGAATTGCTTTTTTTCACTAGTACTTTCAGTCTCTAGAAGAGCTTACCCAATTTATAACCACCCGAACCGAACCCAGGAACCTTTTAGAAGGGATTAGCTGGGCAGGTAGCTCTGTCTTTGTCTCCCCAGCCCTCAGCTAAGGAAAGTATACTGTATCTTTCTTGTCAGTGGCCTTTAAGAAGAAAAGAAAACAAACCTAGAATTCTGTTCATTTGGTAGTAGATTGGGGGAGACTTGCTCAGATAAAAGGTTTAGTGCAATGAGGGCCTTTCTTATACGGAAATTGTTGTCTTTTTCTGAATTTAAAAAAAGTTAAATGGCTGTGGTTTTTATTTTAAATTTCAAAGTTAGATTTTGTTCTTAAGTGAATCTGCTTGTTGGTGTCTATTGGGTGTTTCTGGTTAAGGCAGGTTTGGGCATAGGAAGCAGTGGGGAGCTGAAGCTGTTTTTGTGCTGTTGGCAGAAGTTTCTTTCTGGTTTGGTTTACACTCGTCTGTTTCTTCCTACTTGTTAATTCATTTTAACAGTGGGTAAGTGAAGACAGGAAGAGAGAATGAGGGCTACCGTTTCTCCCATGAAATAGCCTGTTGGTCAGGAGAGTGTCAGGGCAATTAAAGCTTAGGGCCTTCCAGCTCAGTCTCACCCTGGTCTCTCTAAACACTAGCCCCAGGGTTTTCTGAATTCTGATTTCATAGAGCCCAGATCTTAGACTCTGCACCGTACATCTCACCCCACTCGTTGCAGATGCTCATAACGTTTAGTAGTTTTTCTGTTTCCAGTGCATGCCAGTTTCTTCCTCAGATGGTGTATCCTGTATAGGCTTCAAGCCTGCCTGTCCCATATCATGCTAGTCTTATTCCTGCTCCTCAGGCTCCAAGATGACACCCAAGCCCTACTGATTTGATTTCTTGGAGGAAGGCTGCAGGTTGAGGTTAGGAAGATGTGGGAACAATGATGGAGAAGAACATTAGGAATTTTTGAGAGCTGCCCAGCCAGCACAGGGAGCATGGTGGCTCTGAAGAGGTAATTGCTATTCTAAGTAACAGAGGTAGAAGGACATTTCTTGTATTGAGGATGAAGACCACTTTTCCACAGGCCATCCCTGGGTTGGGCCACCTCAGCTCCATTCCATTCCTCTGCTAACTTCTAATCAGTGAGCTCATCCACATAATACACACCCTTGGTGTCTCTCAGTGAAAAAAAACTCGTGTCCGCCCATTGGGGGCTGAGGCCTACATGTTGGCTGTTACTTTGAACCATAAAGATACTGTGGGAGGCCTTGCTAGAATATCACAGAGATTCCCCAACAGTGGCTACTGTCTTCCAGAAAAGGAACCACTGATACTCGTACACATGCTCCATCTTCTGGCAAAGTGACAGCATTGCACTCACGAGGAGCTGCTTTGCCTTCTTAGCCAAGGTCAATAAACTTGCGTCAAGAGCTGGCATTATAAAAACCAGCCTCTGAGGTATGGGTGCAAAATCTTGTGCCTTGTTCCAATTGAGTCCCCTTTAAACCATCAACTCTATTTCTGTGCTACCTGAATTTTATAATAGATCCAAGCATTAGAGAACTTCTGAAATTTTACTGTTTTCTCTTTCAGTAAGCCTTCCTTCAACAGCTAAAACCTACCTTTGAACTCTTCCTTCAGATCTTTGCTGAATTTTGCTGCACTTCCCTAGGGTTGATCCCCCACCTAACTGTAACGAGAAAGCTGGGTGCCCTCCTGTTTCTCCCTAGCCCATCTGGTTCTGCTTCTAATAAACCTTCCTTTTGTAAGCAGATCCCTAAACTTCCTTGTCCTTGTTACACATCTACCTCATAAACTTGCAATTCAACAAGGGCACAGGCATCTGGATTACATCTTTCTTTACTGGCCTTCTCTTCCTAAGGGTTCAGAAGCTATGTGCTAGAAAGAGCTCACAATCAAATGCAAAAACCTGTTGACATTTGTTTCTGGAGTATCTTCTTGTGAGGTGGTTTGCTCATAATCGCCCTAAAACAGTGTGCACTCTGCAGACAATCCTGATGTGGTAGGCCCAGGGTAAGCTATGTAATGACTACTTAGGATGGTAACTAATAGTTGGGAGTCACTCCCAGAAACAGGAACATTGGAACAGAGCTTAGAACTTCAGAGGATAAGAGTTGGTCAATGATTGTCATAGACGCTAAGGGTAATCAGGTGCCAAGGAGGAAGTTTGTGAGTTTTATAGGCCTGAAAGCAGATTTCCTTCTTTACCTTAATATCCAGTTAAGAGGGTTCATCAAGACAAAGGTTCCAGCCTAGAAAAACTTTTCCAATGCAAGAAAGTCCTCACCCATTATTGGGGTCCTTGCTCCCTGAACATATAACCCCTTTGGCCTTTTAGGGTGTGTGACTTACTCTGTTGTATAAACATCACCTTGGACAGGATGTAAGTTTATTTATACTAAACTTTATACATTTTTTTCTTATCCAGAGGCTGCTGGTTTTATACCCTTGCTATGTCTATGCTAATGCCACCCTTCTAGCTTATACTTCCTTTTTTGACTGTTGGTCTTTCCATGTTTCTTCCCTGTAATTTGGTAGAGCTCCATTTTGTCTTATTTCAACTTTTCTTTTTTAAATAAAACACAAAGTCTATGTCTCAGTGTCTTATCCATGGGTGGGAAGCTGGTGGATGGGCCCGTATTTGCTACTGTAAGAACACAGTGGTGGCTCAGGAAGCCAAGGCCGTGTTTCACAGGAAGGCAGGAACAAGGCACACTGAATCCCACCTTGCTCCAGCAACTCGGTTAGGCATAGTCATCCACAAAGCAGAGGGTAAGAAACAGCTTGTCTACTTCTAGATGCCTCTCACACAGAAAGGCCAAGGCCACTATGTGGGGCTGTGGGATAAACTTTGCAGGTTTAAAGGCACATCTGCACCAAGCCAATCCAACCCCTCCCAGCACCTAGTCTCTCCACTTAGATGTGTGGGAACCTATGCTGAAGGGAAGATAAACAGACAAGAGTCTTGAATCTCTATCAAATGTGGTTTTTATTCAACTGACAAGCACTTTTCTACAGCTGCACTTGTGGAACATCACATGGCAAAAACAGGAGTTTTCTCTAGACTTTTTTTTTTTCCTTTTTTAACCTTATTAAAAATGAGATTGGTCCTAAAAATATAGAAAGAAATAAATTTAAATTCACAAAAAACTGTACATTATCAAAAAGTCACTAAAACACCACATTTGGTTATATAAAAAGTCAGTCCCTTTTGTTGTAAAAGGAACATGGAAACTTGTTGGTGTTGATGGTGTGGTTTCTTCCTGTTACCAGACTGATAGGGGTAGAGGAAACGAAGGGGTGGGGGGTTGTCTTTTTTATTTTTAACCTGCCTTCCCTACCAAATACTCTCATTTGTAAAGAAAAAATCCACCTAGCTCAAGGGGCAGTGAGGATGAGGAAAGAAAAATTGAGAAATGGCCCCTATGATCGTGCCCTATGCCCAACCCCCCCTTCGGCCCCCACTTCTTCAAACTGAGGCTAGGACTCCACCCCACTTTAAGAGTGCCTGGTCCCTAGGGTAAAAGGTGGAGCTGGGAGAGAAATACGAAAAAGGAACAACTGAGATTTCACTCCCCCTATCCACCTCATCTTCAACAATGAAATCAGTACTTTTTATACCAGGGGAAAACTGCCATGGGGAAAAAAAGAAGATCCCCCAGCTATAACAGTTTCAATGTCTGACTAACACAAAGTTTGTTACAGCACAGTTATTTAGATAAAATATAAATATTTATGCATAATATAAAGTCACTTCAAATATTCTTCAATACACCTCTTATTTAAAACCAAAAAAAAAAAAAAAATCTCAAATAAAATTAAACGTTTTGAGGTTTATCTGACAGAAAAGGCGACTTTAGAAATAGGCTGGAGGGGAGAAGGGTGTAAGAGAGTAAGAATGGGGCTGCCCCAGGACCCACCCCCCTTCAGTGGCTCTTCAGTGCTACCAGAAGTACAGGAATGCTCCACCTCACCTGGCACCCCTCTTCCCCGCCAATGAAACATTTCTTGGATGCCTCAGCTCTCTGCTTGGGCCAGCCAGCAGCCACCTCCCCAGTGCAAGTACCCGTAATCTCTGATGGGAGGGGCTTTGCTGAGCAGGAAAGCAGGGGGCCAGGGGCCCATGGCTATAGCTGGGAGTTAGCAGCTTTCCTCTCACCTGCTAGGGGATCAGCTTAGGTGTAGTCACATGTAGGGCAGTGGCCAATCCAGAACCTCCTCCCTACTCTCCTGTGCTCCAGGGTCTCTTTACTGGGAAAGGATCCTGGCGTATGAAGCAGATAAAGGAAGGAAAGCACAACTAAACCTACAGACACTCATGGGATTAGGAAAAGATCCAGTTCTACCCCTCTCCCTGCAAAAGCTTAAGACTCAAAGCTACTCAGAAGAGAGAGAGTTCCTGCAGAAAGATTGCACAGTTTGAAGAGGCTGGAACAGAAACGATCAGGAGAGAGGTGAGACACAGCCTTGTCCCCAAAGAAATTGTTCCTGTGGTTTCCCAAAAACAAAAAAAGTGATGGTCTGAAACAATGGGAAAGGTGGGAATAAAAACAGACACCTGGGGAAACTGAACAGATCCTACTAAACAATACTGGATCAC